TATTCGCATGATTGTTACAAGACTAGCTAATCATGTCATTGGAGCAAAGATAATGTCTGAAAATTCAAACGAAAGTGAGATTTATATACCACACATGTCTATATCTCCATCATAATCTTCATGGCCTTTTAAGTTGATTGATTAGGAGACAATTTCCAATCATTGTTTCCTATGCAATGACAATTAATAAGTCCCAAGGTTAATCATTAGTAAATGATGAATTTACTTACCTAGGTCAGGGTTTAGTCATGGACAATTATATGTTGCAATTTCTAGAGTTCAAAACAAACAGGGGCTGAAGATCTTGATTCATGACAAAGAAAATAAATCATTGATGTCTACCACTAATGTTGTTTTTAAAGAGGTCTTCTAGAACCTTTAAAAGTGTTGCAAAATCTTTAATAGGTAAGAAATCATATAGGTATAATTTTTCAATTGTAGTTGTTCTTTTAAAATTTTTACATACAGATACATTTTTGTTTTTCTAATATTTAAATACTCAAAATTTATGTTGCATGATAGAAGATAAGGTTCAATTGTAAAACTTAATTACACAAATTACAATTTGTGAATGCAGGAGCATTTGATGTCATATATACAAATATTGTTATGCGATACTTTTGCAGTTTTAATACTATGCATCTAGGCTTATACCAAACTAGATACAATGGAACCAAACTTCATCAAGCTCTTTTGTGAGTACCAAATTATAAGAGTTTATATAAGTTTTTAACCATATCAAACTTTATCACCTTAAACCTATAATTACTATTTTTTTTTAACTTTTGTGCAATTGCTACATTGATGGAGGATAGACAACAGTTTTCACATGTAGTTAATTGAAGAATATATGCATATTTCTTACATGCAGACACATACACTACTTTTATGACTCATTAGTTGTATTCTTCAATTAAATGCTTTTGATTACATTTATACCACTTTGGGACTCATTAGTTGTATTCCATAAAGACATTTCATGAAAATTTTTTATCTAAAATATTTAATATAAAATATTAAATATTTTATATCTTTTTTTATTTTGATATGTACTAGACTGTTAATTAAATTCTTTTATCTATGCTCATATTTTCATGATTATCCTTTTTTTTAACTAATTTAAAAAAAAATTATCAACTTTTAATTCTTACTACAAAAATATAATAATAAGAACCAACTCAACCCGCACACGCAAAGATAATTATGTAGTTTGGATTAAAAAGATAAATAACCGATTTTAAAAGCCTTTTTTCCACTAGTGAACGTTGCATACAACATTCTCAAAACATCTCATATCACATCACGCATAACCATCTCCTATCACATATAAATTTATCTTGTCACGCATAAACATTTCATATCATGGACGTCACACAAAAACATATAATATTGCATACAGGCACAAAGCTTCACACACAAGGTCTCACAAACATAATTTTGTATCTTCATTATAACTCATTCACAAATGTTCTATCTCATTCTTTATCTTTCTTAATCATTGATATAAGTTTCTCAAACTATTTTCAAGATCAAACACTTAAGGGTAAAATAATTCACCATTACAACTCTCAAACTATCTTTTCTTATCTTATGCTCCTACAACATTGTGCGTTCTAAATGCAATATACTGAGTTATACTTATGATATCAGGTTGATTACAATTTTTTTTAGAAAGCTAGTACAATTGTTTACAACTTCTATGTTGACCTCAAAAGCTTATTTTACCATCTACCATGCTTAAAAAGTACAAAATCTCATCATTTTAATCTAAATTTAATAACTTGACCCTCACTCACTAAGTTGATCATAACTTGAGTTCTAGACTTTTTTTAAGGTGATTGCAATGGCATTTGGAAGCTAACATCTATGATTATAACTTTCATGAAGGCCAAAAATGCAAATTTGGCCATCTACTCGTCTAAGGGAGCCAATTATTCGCTTAAGAGATAGTTAGTTTTTTTGAGCGAGCTAAAATTTGCTTAAGCAAGTTGCTACCCAAAACTTTGTCACAAACTTTCTTGTGCGAGCCATGACAATCCAAAACATGCTATTATATGATTTTTGTGTTTCTAACTTTCCCACACCATTTCTTAACAATTTTAATCCAAATCCAATTGGTAAAATCTCAAATTCAAGTCTATTACTGTACAATTAAGTCCTTAATTAAACATCCTTGCATCTAAAACATCATTACCCCTTACTAATTCACTTTACTCTACACTTAGGATTCTCACAAGAATTATAGATTCATGATCAAAACACTCAACACAAAGTTAATCACATATACAATTCAATTATCATGTATAAGGCTCATAAAAAATATCTAGAACTCTAATCCTCATTCCCCAAGTCAAATCACGAGTTTCTCTAATAACTAGGTAAATAGACAAGGTGGTTGGTTTAATCCCCTTACCCACAATTAGTTTTCTCCCAAAGAGATGACTCTCACTCTCCCTAACTTCATTAAACATTTGATGAAGGACAAGAATCTCTAAGGTTTGCTCATGAAGCTTTTGCATTTTCCTCTTTGAATTCTTGAGTTTAGAGAAAAGGACAGCTCCCTAAAGCCCTAAAAAAAATAATTTACTTGAAGTTATTTTAAATTTTGGTTATATATAACAAACATTTAACATGTGCATTGTACAAACTAAAATACTATTTTTTTTTTAATTTTAAATATGTCATATCTCTTATTCTGATTGTCAATTTTCTCCCCATCTTTTATCCATTTTATTTTTTAAAATACATAAATAAAAATAATTTCTAATTTCTCAATATGTATATTTTATTTTCATAATTAATTCTCTTATATAAATTATTTCTTATTTATCTATTGTAAAAAATATCTATTACTTTTATTTCTAAAAAGTTACATTTTTTTGTCTTTGATATTCTATTTTTTATTTTAATAATATATATTGAATTTTTTTTATTTATGTATTATAAAATAAAATGAACAAAAAAGAATTAAAATTTGACAATTGAAGGATGAATGTTTACAATATTAACTTAATTATCTATTTATTGTGTAAATATTTAAGTCATAATTATCTGATTAAAATAAAATTATGATAACATTTGGATACTAAAATAACATCAAGTTAAAATTTTAGGGATTAAAATGATATTTAGTTACAATTTCAAGGACTAAAGTGACACATTGTTATAGTTTCAAGGATTAAAATAATAGATTTTTTTTTTTATAATTATATGTTATGTGGAACATATATGTCATGTGACACATGTCATTTTACATATGTACCACGTGTATGTTATATGACATTATTGTGTTACGTAGACACTTCTGTTTTAAAAAATGAGACTTATTTAACAGAAAGACTTAAATGAGTAAATAATTATATTTTTGAAGATTTTTTTTTTTTTAAATTTCATTAGAATTATTGACTAACTTGAGAATGATATGCAAGTATGCTGTTAGCCATCTCCGATGTATAAATGATCTCATGACAAAATAAAAAATAAATAAAGAGATAGGAAGAAAATATGGTGTAATTAGAGTAAAAGAGAAAATATATATTATGAGTATTTTCTGATTTCCAATTTTATACGATTGTATTATTTTATCCTCTTAATTTCATAATTTTGCTCTTGTAAAAATAAATAACATTTGATGAATTTTATTATTATTAAATATCTACTTATTATATATGGTTACTTTTTATTTTATATTTATTTTTTAATCAATTGGATTGTATAAAACCGATAATTAATTATTATGATCGATCCTAATTGAAACTACTGTGAAACAATCAAAGCTTTTTCAATGAGGTCATGGCACTTTATTATGATATAAGTCAAAAAGTGTATAAACTTGTTAAAACTATTTACGTGTGTTTTCTCTAATACTCTAGCAGCCAAGTTTATTAAGAAGCACGAGAAATGGATTAAGCGACATCCTAGTAGGAAAGATATAGCTAGGTGTACTTCTATGAGGGCACACTAATAATCTTTACGTGATGATTTAGAATTTTGAGATCGAACGAGAATTCCAAGTAAAAAAGCAAGGGAAGAGATACTTACAAACGATATTTTAACGCTTAAATCAAGACAAACATGAATATAATAATAACAATAAATTAACAATAATAATATCTTATTTTATGTGACTATTTATACTAATCATAATGGATTTAGATATAGCGAGCCTTGTTCCTTGATTATCAATTAAGTAATACGATAATTAATAACAGATTATCTCTTAAACTCGTACTATCTTTGTTAGTTATGCAATTTGTTATAGCAAGGTTCGATAATGCAACACCTCGACATTCTCAACTTTTGGTCTAACCGAGAGAGTGAGGGTCACTATTGTGGGTGAGGATATGCACCTCGGTGAATTAGACAGCCTATACACTCAAACATGGTGTATCAAGTTGTTTGAACCATGCCTGATTCATCCAGGTCTCTCAGCCACTGAGGTGACCGAAAGGACCGAACCATCCGCATAGGTCGACAGGGTCATACATAATTCATCTTGGTATATCGGCAACCAACGAGATCAAAAGGATCGAGACAGAATGATCGAAAGGTCTCACGTTGAGTTGGATAGGTATCTCACTGCGTGTCACGTAGCATGTCACACGGTGTGACATGTGGCTACTCATTCCCTTCTAATACACAAGGTAAAACATGTTTTTGGAGGACAAGCAAATACTCGATCGATATTGGGTTTGCTAGTTACATTGATCTGGCCAATAAAACATTTTTAAGAAGTGGATCAGAATCCACTCAATTTTGCACAAAATCAGCTTATTATATACATTTTGATCGTATCACTAGTCCTCAGATACTCCAATAAACACTCATTTACTATCTTCCAACTTCAAATAACTTTTAACTTTAATTTTTTAAAGTTGATCCCATCCCTGCTCTGTCCTGGGATTGGCCTGCATGTGTTTTATTGCATAGAATGTGTAAAACTTTCTACTGTGTTAGTACTGGTAGATTTTAATATTTAAAAACAGTAGCTTTAAAAAATATTACTAATAGGAGAAACAAATTTCACTGATATACTTTTTCTCAACCCAACCTCCCTTATACAGAGATGTACCTCAATTTACTAATCCAATAATCCAGATTGATCATTTTGAACCATTTTAGGTAAAATTATAGGTAACTTATTGCTGATTATTTCTCAAGATAACATAGAATAACACGCAATATAAGACATGGGGGAGCACTGTAGTGTTACTAGTGTATACAGAAATTGTTTGGAGAGGACCAAATTTATTATTTATGAGAACACTAGCAGTGAATTAGGCATTAGTTCTACAATTTAACAATGGTAGGCTTATAGTCAATGGCAATGACTTTCTCGAAACAGAGAAGGAACAAATTTGCAAATTCAACATGGGCTGGATGAGCTAAATACTCTGCAACGCCTTCTGTACTCTCAAAGGTTGATACAAAGACATGAGTGAAGCCTTGATGCATACTTGTGTCACTTACATCCTTACCCCTACATTAGATAATTATTGCCTTTAAATGTTTTAATCAAGCCACTAGAAGGGGTTCAAGTGCAAGCATGTGTAGTGAGTAAGATGCAATGCAATTGTTGAATAAAATTTCTCAATCACCTATATATGTTCCATCTTTTCTATCATGTAATTTTATGAACAATCCAAACTTCTATTCCTTTAGGCCTTACATCAGCCATTGAAATTGTGAATTTGCTTAACTATTTGAATAAATTGCCGAATAAATATTCATAGAGAAGAAAATAATTAAACAATCTTTTTTACTAATTTTTTTTAATTTCCAATAAAAAACTCAAAAAAAAAAACAATTTCTAACAGATTCAAAAGAGACTAAAGATACCAAGAGAATGATTTCATTGGTGGGATGAGATTGACTAGATTGGCAAAGCCCTTGATGAAGTCTTCAATCCGCTCTGGAGCTACGTCGTCCTTGAACTTTGTGAGGACTACGTGGTTCACTAATCCCTTTGCTTCTTCCATTTCTTCTTTCACAACACCCTCCTACTTCTCAACTTGTATTATATAGGCATCTCAACAAAATGAAAAATAAATAATTAATTCAAAATGTAATTTTTTTTACATATAAATCAATTAAAAATCATTTTTTTGTTACTAATTATTATAAAAATGAACAATATACATGACATTTTGCCATTAAACGACAAAGTAAAACAAATATAGTTATATTACCAATATACATATTATTTATTTATAAAATTCAGCAAAAACAATATGACTAGATGAAAGTATTATTTTTTTTTTATGTGAGGGTATGCGTTAATTATTCTACTTAAACATATAAAGTAAGAAAGTAAAAGTATAGAAATAATTTAATATTTATTCTTAAATAATTAAAATATTTAATAAAATATATTAAATATTCAAACAAATTTGAAAGGATAAACTAAATTTAAAAATCATTTTCTTTATAATATATCCATATTTTATTTTATTTCTTATTATATTGTTTTCGTTATGAGTTTGTCCTTTGATAAAAAAATATTAGAGACTAAAAAAAAAATATTTGCATATTATAAGGATATAGAAAATAGTAGAAACTTAAAAGAAAATCATTCACATATTATTAAGTATTTTATAAGGGTTAAAACAAGATAACAAATATATATATATATATATTAAGTCTTTATAAATATCTATATATATATATTATAGAAATTAAAAATATATTTAAGTTTTAAACATTTAAAAAAATATATTTTATAAAAAAATTTGTAATATTTGATCAAGACTTTCAAATAATATAAAAAAATTCAAGTAGTAATTAAATTATTTTAAAGGAATAATAAAATTTGATGATATTCAATGAAGATAATTAAGATTTTTTAAATAAACAATGAAAATATAGTTATATTTAATTAAGATTCTTTAACTTATAAAATATCTTCCGGTATTCAAAAGTACATAGATATTTATGAATTCTCTTATAGAGTAGATTTTGTGTGAAAAATATAAATACCATTCACTTCTTTTAATCCCAATTAAATCCATGATACTTTTCTACTCTCTCACCATATATATATATATATATATATATATATATATATATATAGATAGATAAAAGAGGGATTAATAAGTCTAAATATTTAATCTGTTCAATAATTCATATTTTACATCAAATTTCAATGATTCAATTATTGAATTTAAAATTCTTAATATATAGATCAAATCTATAAATTTTAAAAAATTTAAAAATCATTTGATACTTCTTTTCATTAATTCAAATCAATGTATAAAATGTTTTTATAATTATCTGTTAATTTAAATTAATGAAATGAAGTATTAAATGGTTTTCAAAATTTTTAAAAAATTGTAGACTTAATCTATATTAAGAACTTTAAATTCAACGGTTGGATATTATTAAAATTTAATATAGAGCATGAGTTATTAAACGAAATAAGTATAGGTAGACTTACTCCTAAAATAAATGAATCATCTTTATATATACTAGTAGGAAAAACCGAAAAAGGCACTCTGTGCTTGCATTGTATTAAAAGAAAAAAATAAATAAATAAAGAAAAAAATGCAAAGTTACTCATAAAAAATGTAGTTATTGAAAAATAAAGAAAAGATAAAATGGTCCATGTAAAAATAAAAAAATCAAAAGTAGTTATTGAAAGTATTATTTTCTTTATATATTAGTATAAATTCATTAATTTCAAGTTTTTAAGTTTGATTAAAAAAATATTTTTTCTAATTTTTAAAATAAAAAGGTATAATAGTCCCAAAAAGTGGAGACCAAGGTGGTTATCGATAAAGATACCCCTTTTATATATGAGTATATATATATATATATTATCTTATTTTTTTAATTAGATATTAATAGGTATCGTTACGTGTTAAATAAGTTAAATGAGATGTAATACTGAACTTTGAATGACTTATTTTTTACTAATATTTGGTATAAATATAAATTTGGATATTTATACGAACGTATATGAAAGAAAAATTGATAGAAGTTATTAAGTGTATTATAATATTTATTGATAAAAATATGATTATTTGGTCATTTTTTGTCCGCCTAAATCCGTAAATATAAGTTAATTCGATATATATATTTAAGAATAATATGGCTACTAAATTATTTAGGCAATAAAATACGGGGTAAAATTCAAGGTAACTCAATAATAACTAATTAGTAGAATAAGAAGAAAAAAAAGCATACATAAATTAAAGGAATTAACATTAAGTGGTTTTTTTTTTTTTTTAACGTGTCTTAATAGCTGTTAAATAAATTCAATTGATGGTATTAATGAGGTTTTAATTAGGGATGGCAACGGGTGGGGCGGGTAAGGGTTTCATGATACCCGTCTCTGTCTTCGCGAGCCAAATTTATCCCTATCTCCGTAGTTGTCGGGTATGTGATTTTCATCCCCATCCCCGTCTCCGTTGGGTATCGGGTATACCCGTACCTGTTAATTTTTTTATTTTTTATTTTTTGTAAAAAAATATGATATTTTTAAATTTTTTTATTATAATAATTATAATTAGGTTATTTCTGTGACACTCTTTACCCCAACATTAATACACAATAAATGTAAACAATAATTTTTTTCTTTTTCTTTTTGAGTAAATAAAATCTTTCATAGTTGACAACCTCTTTCATGGATAAAATAATTGTCTCAATTATGATAAGGTAGAAGATTCACATTCGTAACTCATAAATCATAAAAAGGTCAACACGTAAGTATCAAAACTCAAGAAATCATACAAAAGAAAATATAGATTAATTCCAGCAAAGGTAGCAGTGCCTCCTAGTTAAGAATTAATTTATAACTTTTAAATCATGTAATAAAATAGTATGACAAAGATGTACATTTTGGTCTTTTCTCAAGAACGTTCAAAATTACAAAAGAAGAGAAAATTAAAGCTTTTAAAACAATAACATCCCAAAAATAAGCCTAGCTATGCCCGATGTCACATCCTATTAGAGCATGCCCAACTAAAGCCTTAAGCCTCATCACCAACATCCTCATGATGATGATCATCTACAACATAATTTAAAACATATACAAGAACAACAAGGGAGTGAGAAACATCTCACTCAGTTTTAGGTGAAGAAATAAAGGTTAGATAGCACGCACACGCACAACAAATATAAGTCACATGTAAATAATACACATAAATAATCAATATCACATATATACTCATTTATCATGCAATGATGTCATGGACTCGACTCATAAATGCATGCATGTGGCACCATAAGGAAGTTTCACATATCATCACTGGTGACCCTAAGGCACACCTGGTTACATCACTGGTGACCCTAAGGTACACCTTGTTAGTCGTGGGTGACCCTAAGGTACACCTTGTTAGTCGTGGGTGACCCTAAGGTACATCTTGTTAGTCGTGGGTGACCCTAAGGTACACCTTGTTAGCATCACTGGTATGCGGCCTCAGCGGCACACCTAGAGTAATATATGCATATGATGCATGTCATACATTCATTATTTCATTGACTCAACATTTAACTTATTACAAAATTTCATTTAGTACATCATGTCATCATTTTTCTTAGTCTCATAATCACATCTTGTCTCAATAGTCCATTCTTAGGTCTCATGTCATTTGTCCATATTCACATGGTCATGTCATAAATACTCCTCATAAGGTCCACACAGGAATTTACAGAGATCCACAGAAAGCATTCTTATTCATATTAAAACTTATTTATTTTTAGCATTAATCACATATTCATTTATTACTTCCAACAAAGAACAAAGTAGAGCAAAAAGAAAATAAAACAGAACAATGGCAAGGGATTGGGGGCCAATCCGACAATCAAACTATCCAACAATTATCCCCACACCCCCGAGCGAGGTTTCTCACTCCCCCCTTACCTGGATAAGCAGAGCTAAAACTTGGACAGGACCTCCTCCTCTGTATTCCCTCTTTCTTTCCCTCTCTTTCTTTCTCTTTCTCTCTCTTTCTTTCTCTTTCTCTCTCTCTCTTTCTCTCTCTAAGATTTTACTTTCTTACTCAGTATAAATTTTTCACCCTCCTTGCCCCTATTTATAGGCATCCTGGTGTACTCGGAACGGCCCGTACTGAATTTGGAACGGCCCGTTCCGGATCCTTTAAATATACATAAAATTTTCAACTGAAACGGCCCGTTCTAAAATCGGAACGGCCCGTTTCCAAAAAGCAGAACGACCCGTTCTAAAATTAGAACAACCCGTTCTGGAGTTCACTTTTACACAAATTGACCATAAAAAGAACGACCCGTTTCCAACTTAACTTTTTAGGCATTTTTCTTACTCTGGAACGGCCTGTTTCACTTTGGGAACGACCTGTTCTGGAAAAACCCAAATAGGCTTCTTTTCTACCTTGGAACGACTCGTTCCACTTTTGAAACGGCCCGTTCTTCTGCTTCAAAAATAACATATTTTCTTTGTTTGGAACGGCTCGTTCCACTTTTGGAACAGCCCGTTCCGGCGTAAGGAAAACAAAATTTTACAAAAAATTTTCACAAATAATTAAATTATTAAAAACCTTTACAATATTTTATAAAAACTCTTTTAATTAACTAAAATAACTATAAAAAATAATCTTCATAAATATATAAAAATAGATAATAATTGATATTGCAATAGTAGAAATTCCGGGGTGTTACAATTTCTCTATCTCATATTATAATAAATAATCACACATAAAAAAATATTAAAATTCTTTAATATAATTAAATTGAAAGTGAGTACTAAATTAAAAATGGAAACGAGGACGGGTACGGGTATGGGCACGGGTACGGGGCGGGTAAGTACATACCCGTACCCGATTTAATATATCGAGTTTTACCCGTATCCATACCCGGTCAAACCAGGTATTCCCCGTCAAAGTAGGGACGAGTTCGGGTATTACCCGCAGGTACGGATATATTTGTCATCCCTAGCTTTAATGATTACTATTTTCTTGGGAAAGAATTACCTAATTTTTTTTAACTCTTTTACGACTACGAATTTTTTTTTATATCTAATTAGAAGTGTATTAGATGGAGGTTTTTAAACTTTGTAAGAATTTACTAATTTTTAAGATTTTATAAAAGACTTTTAAGAAAGACTCATGGACCTTTATAATTTCTTAATATGCTATCATTTTATATATTAGTACGTGAAAGAAAATACAGTGTTCATAACACATACATGTAGAATAATAAGATTTATTTACTTTAAGTGTATTATCTATCCGATTATTAGCTTCTCTTCAATAATGTGAAAATCTTACATGTATCCACACTGAGACCAACCTCTGTTTTCAAACTCTTTGAAAAGTGAAATTAAAATAAAATGCTTAAGAATTATATGTGAAAAAGAATATAGCAGAGATAGTAGTAAAATTCATCTCCTTTTTGTGCACTAAAAAGTCATAATTATAGTACAATAAAGATCTCCTTTTCCTAAAATTAGGAAATTAGTAACATTTTATTTTGTTTTTTCAAATAAAAACAATATCAATTATGTATCTTTAAGAGATTGCATTCTTTTTATAAAGATTCATATTTTATTTTATTTTTCAAATAAAAACAATATTAAATATGTATCTTTAAAGATTTTCATCCCCTCTTATTTATCCATATAAACAACACTAATCAAGTATAATAATTTAATCATATATTCTTTATGAACTACTTTCTCCAATTTGAAATTCAAAAGATATTTAAAAAAATTTATACTATGTATACTCTAAGTGCTAGCAAAGAATATAATAATATTTCACTTTAAATTATTTAATTTGATCAAATTAAATACTCTTATTTAATTATCAAATGTTAAAATAATTCCTTTAACATAGACTAGAACACTCGTTTGTGTATGACATTGTAAGTTCAATACTAAGTTGATAATAAATTCATCAAATTAATATATTAATCAAGGTAGACATCTAACAATATTCCTTAACGTCCAGATAGTATAAAGTAATATTTTACTTTCAAGAATTTAGAAGAACAAATAACATTTTTCTTCCATCGTTACAGCTCTTAGTTAACTCTAAAATATGGTATTATCGTCAAATTCCATTAAATTAACCTATCACGATTGACTTAAGAAATTCATTTCTTCTTTCAATCAATTTTTTTTGCCAGAATATTTTATTAATAGAGCTCAAACTCATTATCAAGAGTTGATGGATTCCTTCTTGATTTATCATTAATTCTACAAGCATTTGATCATATCCAACATTCATGTAACTAGTACCCTAAGACATTAGGTGTCCGAAATTAAAATATAATAAATTACTTGTTAATCACTATGATAATCTCATGTAAAAAAACATTTAGTTTCTTCTTAATAAATTTCTATTGACGAATTAAGGTAATGTAAACCATTAGAAATTCTCAATTGAGTCAGTTCAAATGATCATACTCACATATGCATCATCTATATATGTAATTAATAAATGAAATTTATTAATCTTTATCCTATAAAGACATTCACATATATATTGATTTATTCAGATTTATTGATGTCCGATATACAATAATCCTATGATTAAGAACAATTTAGATTAAAATAATAACAAACTTTTGTTTCTTGATCATTATCATAATCTTTATTATGAAAACAAGTATAATTTTAATCAAGGACTTTATCTATTTAACAAAATAAAAATAATAACAATTTATCAATTTGGATATGATTACATAATGAATTGGATCTTGAGCATATTTAATTATTCTCCAACAATCTCCCACTTGCACTAGAGCCAATGAGTCATGTATTTCATTCCCACTTTCCATTTGTGTTTGTCAAACTCTTTTAAGACATGGAGTGCTTTTATTTTGTTAGCATTATATAAATAAAATAAAAATGGGTTAAATATGTTTTAGTCCTTTAAATTTAGGATAAATTTATTTTTGGTCTCTCAAATTTAAAATTGTTATTTTTAGTCCATGTAATTTTAAAAATATTATTTTAGTTTTCCAGTTCACTAATAACATATTAGTAAGTGACAAATTGAAATAATTATGTAGCATCAACTAGGTTAAATATTATGTTTTCATTAACAAGGATACGAGTAGATAGATTTTATGCGACAATATTTGATAGATTTTTTAACAACATTTGAGTATAAGAACTAGAATAATATTTTTTAAAATTAAAGTGACTAAATATACCAATTTTAAATTTAAGGGAACTAGAAATAAATTTATCTTAAATTTGAGAAACTAAAAATGTATTAAATTCGATAAAAATTTATTTGATATTTAATGATTTATTTGATTGATTTAATCAAAATATATACTGATTATAATAATCTTAAGTACTATACTTATGTTGTTTTATGGGTTTTATATAAATTAAAAAATAAAAAAAAAATTCAATGAGATTTTAATAAAAAAATCAATGTAGTATTATCACATCATGACAAACCTTTGTTTTATAATAATATAATTAGTAATTGATTTCATTATTATATTTTTCTGTTAATCCAACAATTCTTATATGTTTATTAGTGTAAAAAAGACATTTTATATGTTTATGCATTTTTTATAAATAAAGTAAAAATGAATGACTAATAATAAGTTTTTAATCAGAAGTAGTTGTAAGGATATATTTTGAAAAATGATTAAAAAAAAAAAAGACAGAATAGTTTAAGAGATATGCTTTGAAAATTAGTTATAAGAACAAAGATGCATGAAGAAATACTTCCAAAGAATGGCACTGAATTCATGACAAGAGGGAGCATTATAGTGTATACAGAAATTGTTTGAAGAGGAAACGAAATTTATTTTTAGGATAACACTAGCAGAGAATGAGGCATTACTTCTCCCATCAAAGGTTTACAGTAGTAGGCTTGTAGTTAACCACAACAATTTTCTCCGCAAAGGAAAGAAATAAATTTGCATATTCAACATGGGCAGGATGAGCTTCATACTCTGCAACACCTTCTATACTCTCAAAGGTTGATTCAAAGACATGAGTGAAGCCTTGATGCAGATTTGTGTCACTTACATCCTTGCCCCTACATTACATAATTCATATATATCTGCATTACATATATTGCTTTTAAATGTTTTAATCAAGTCACTAAAAAGGGTTCAAGTGCAAGCATGCTTAAGATGCAATGCAATTGAATAAAATCTCTCAATCACCTATACGATTTCTATCTTTTCTCTAACATGTAATTTTATGAACAATCCAAACTTCTGTTCCTCTGAGCCTTACTTGAACCATTGAAATTTACGTTTTGGTCTATTCACAATATATAAATACTACCCATATGACAAACTCTTTTAAATATTTTATCTTTAATTAGTTAAAAACTATTAAAAAAATACAAAATTACTCTTACAAAAATACTCCCTGTTCTATGAGATCTTAATTAAGGAAACTTTTAATATAAGAGATCTTATATATATATATCTACTTGTCAATCATTATATTTATCTAATCACTTACTTGAATCAACGACTCTAATATTATTTTAAAAAAAATTAAATAAATTCTTCTATAAATTAAAACTAACTTATATATATATATATATCGGATAAGAGTGAGAAAGAAAGGAAAGGAATAGAAAAGAGAGGTAACCAGTGCAATGACTTCATGGGTGGGATGAGATGGACTAGTTTAGCATAGGCCTTGATGAGGTCTTCAATCCGCTCCGGAGCCACGTCGTCCTTAAACTTTGCGAGGACTATATGTTTCACTAATCCCTTTGCTTCCTCCATTTCTTCATCCACAACTACCTCATCTCATCCTCACATTCTATTATATATAGCCATCTCCACAAATATTAAAATTACAAAATTGAAACCATTTTTTTTATAAATATAATACCCTTCATTGTCTGAATAATTTAATGACCAAAATATATTTATTTTGAGTGTAAAAAATTGTTCCAAAATACCTTATTATATATATATATATATATCCA